ATATAAATTTGCATGAACTGCAGTGGTTTTCTGAAGAAGAATATTGTTTCACTAGCATCAAACATATCAAATCTTCCTAAGTCATTAGAGTTTGAGAACGTTTCGAAATAATCAAATGATGTATTCATTATATTATTTATATTATTAGAAATATAATGCTGTACAAATTTTGTTGTAATCAACATTTGTTTAACTGAAATAGAATCTATTGAAGCTCTTTAAAATAAGCTGAAGTATTGTAAGTATTCAAAATTTGGTTGCAAAGAGAATTCACATTATTTAATTACCTTTTGCAAGTGAAAAATGTTTGAGTCAAGCAGCACTGCTTTCAACCATCGTTATGGAGAAGCTTGTAAGTCGAAAGCATGTGGTGGAATTAGTACAGAAGTTTATAGAAACTGTTTCAATTCTCAGCGTAAGAAAGAATCGTAGCGCCCGATCAGAAATTAAGTCGTAAACACGTTTAAGGACAAATGGTTTAAGAATCCTGAGATATAATATAGATCAGCAATTTATTTTTATACAAGGACTTTATTTTTTGGATAACATGTTGATCCATCGGCTGCATTAAAAGTGGGCGGTTTGGTGGTATGAAGATGGTTTGGATATTAACAACGAATCTTAATTTGAGCAGGCTGTTAATAATTCACTCTTCTCCTCAAGACACTTTAAAGCTGCTTAGTTGAAGCTAAATCGCGATTATCAGCCTCAACAGTTCACAAAAAATGCTCTATTGCAAGTCTTCGTGATCACAGTTCTAAAGAGACACATTACTCTCTGTTTTATAGCTTCTTTTACTTTCCTTTACTCATATTAACCTTATCCCTCTTAAATTTACAACCTGCAGCAAATGTTTTCGAAACATTCCACGTTTATTATTCTCTCTGTCGAATGCAAAAAATGTATTGACCGTTTTTGTCATACATGGTTCGCAGAAATACAGGTTCAGATGCACGTTACCTACAGGCCCCCGAGTGCAGGTTTCTAACCTGTTAGTTCTGCAGTATTGCTAAATGAGCATTATACAGGTTCAAGAAATTACATTACATTGCATTATTAAAGGAACCGTATTATTGCATGAGGAGATTTAACATATTCGAAACCATATGCAATTTCTTATACCAAGCCCCTCATGTTTCGAATGATCATCATATTCTTCTTTGTTATTTCTAATCTTCTCAAACGGTAAAAACTGCATATCTGATTTGCTTTTCTCCCATCTACAATGTAACTTTACTATCCTGCGGTAAAACAGACAGGGTGTCCTGTAAGCACATGATCAAAAAAATACTGCGACATTCTTTGGCTAAAAATAAGACGATCTGACGAACTACTCTTACGAAAAAATGTGCGGATCACCTGCTGTTGATGATCAAAGATGTTCAAAAACATTTTATACTTCACACACACACACTCATTACTTCACTACTTGTTCAAAGCGGATGAACTCTATTGCTTACTTATTGCTCTTATTATATGAGTCTTACATAAGAAAAAATACTGTAAGTTCCATTAAAATCCCCCGTATCATTCTCCGAATATTTCAAAAAACATTTTTTTAAGAGTCTCACAATTTTTCTTCATAAAAGTTAGTTCAGATCGTCTTCGTTTGAGCCAAATGATGTACCATTTTGATTATTTGCTTGCAGGACGCCATATATTTACAACTTTCCTACTGAACTCACGAAAACATTTTCCGCATCCTTTTTGAAGACCATGTATTTCTGCTGCTTTTAGATATATAGTTGCTCGTCTGCGACTTAAACATTTATTTTTACTAGAGGTCTATTTGTTACAGGCATGAACGAGATACATGCATTAATAATCTGAAGTTAAACCTAAACGTTTCGTCAACATCAGCCGATTTCATCAGATGGCGATCGAGTAAATCCAAACCACAAGCCAGGTAATCAGCACCTAGTAAAATCACCTAGTAGCACCACAGTAAAATAATCATAGCTCATTAATATTATCCCAACTACTTCATATTGATATAATGTATGCCATTGTCGATACTTTATCACGAGCAAGGTATGTATATGATATCTGACCAACAGTGAATAATATGTATAAAACATATGCAGTCATTATTATTAAACATAAAACAAACAAACAACAGAGTTTTCTTAAGTACGTGTAAATAATTCAGGAGAGTGTTTGTTTCGAGATTCTTCCGGTTATACATTGTATCGTTGTATTGTTTCCACATGTTCAATGGACTTTATTTTAAATTCGCTGCTTTTCTGACGAATAACGTTATAACTAAATCTCCTTCCCAATGAGAATCTCTTCTCTCCATCTAATTCTCTTCTTTCCAACTACTTAAGGGAGAGTTTTTGCGGTCTATAACTCTAGAACCGTCGACAGAACAGGATTATATCGTTGCCATTGTGTTTCGTATTATGTGTTACCAAGAATACGTAATAAGCCGAACAAAAGATAAATTTTCCAAGGTGTGCGCCACAAGTAGAAGCGCAAAAAACGCCTTTGTTTGGTTGATTTGTAGTTTTTGTTACTTATCTGTTCCTACCAGGTCGAGGATCACATTGCGTCTTGAGTTTCAGCTTGCATTAATGACAAAGTTAAACCGATCCTGCCGTTCTATTTATTTACATGTTGTTGATCAATTATATTTTTTAATGTCAATACTTCGACTTGAATTCTTCTCTCGTATTTCATCCTGCTACCGACACCAAGAAATGTGCTCTTCCAAAAAACTAACTGAAAGTTATGTAAGGCACTTCAGCTACAACGCTCTTAGAAACACAAGGAGTTTGCTGCACAACTTTGTTTCTCGATATTGCAACTTTGTAGTGTGTGAAAGGGTCAGCACAAGTTCAACATCCGATCACTGATGTCCAATAAAGTTTCTTCATGAGTTCAAACGGATGAACTCCTGTGCCAAACACGTTTATTTTTATAATATATCAAGTAACTTCTAAATCGGCTTATTTGCCTCAAAACTTTAAAATTTCTTATATGCGAAAGCATTTCCTGGATATCAGGGTTGTTAATCTGGTAAGTTGTCCTCGCAAATGGTTTTCTGTAAATTTGTAGATTCTTTATTTCCGTTTCAAAGATGTATTTCTTGTATATTTATCTTCGTCCTTTCTTCTCCTTGTGTCTACATCCGAAATCTTTCGATAACATGGTTCAATGACGAGAACACACGACAGTTGTTTCCATATTTGCGTAAAGGGAGAACTGATATGAGCGTTTATTCATACCAATGAAAAATGTAAAGAGACAAAGCGAGTCGTTTAATAAACGTTTCCTGATATCAAAAGGAGATTATACAAAACAGGTACATTTAGCAAACATTAATGACAAAAATTTAATTAAGGTACAGTTATTGCTAATGGCCAATTGAAACTAAAAATCCGACCTTTAATTGAGTGATCTGGCGACAGACTAGGAGGTATTTACGAAAATTGGTAGGATAGAGAAATCAGTTGAATTTAACACACATTATATTTACTACATGTATTAATTCTTATAGGAAGATTATTTTTAAGGGTATATAAAAACAACACATTAACAACTTCTGACTTTGAAATTGGGATTGGTATTGCCATTCTCGTGCAATGCCACATCTAAGTGGTTTTTTCATCAAATTTTATAAAACGTTTAGATTTAGATTTTCGGCAAGTTCTTTGAAATCTTAGAGCTATTAGTAATATTTGGAATATAAAAAGGTACGATTTATCTGAGCATCACTACTCTGTTACTCTCACTATAATTTATAAAAATTTGTGATTTCTTTAAACCCGCTTTAAAGAGTGCAAGATAATTTCATGGATCTTTTTAATCTGAACTTTGAGTCAAATAACAGTTTTGGCCAGATTACCATTCGTCAGATATTCTGTGTCTAATTAGTTATTGTCTGATTTATAAAATTCAAATGCTAACTAAAAATACTTACTAAAAATATCAATATTGTGACTTCATCATCTTGTTGTTAACTTTTGAAAATAAGTGTTCAATAAATTTTGATAAAAACAATTCTTACCTAATTGTACAAGCGCAAGAGATAATATCTTGCTTATAATAGAAGAATTCTATATAGACCTATACGAAACTAAAACATCCTCCTAAAACGAAGGAAACGGTAGAATGAGAATCAGAAGATATTCCTGACATTAAAAAAAAAGAAGTGACAAAGATATAATCCGGGAGGGAGGCGAAAATATTCTGGAAAAAGTTTCTGCTCTGCCCAATAAATAAATGCCTGCGAAGCGTGCCCCGACAGTGGAAAACAGCGCAGGTGATACACATACAAAAAAACGGAGATAATTTTAATAATTAATTACCAAGATGGAAAATTACCGACCCCTCGGTCTGCCAGAACCCAACCCACAGAACAGCCAGATTTTAGGACAAATTATGGAACAAACTATCACCTTCATGTTCATGGAGTATCAAATAATAAAGACAATCAAAAATCAATGTTGGAAATACATAATCTCAAATGTTATAAGTATTTAAATAACTCAGCAAAGAAACATGACAATCATTTACGAAATACAATAAATTAAATTTCAATAAATTAAGCAGTTGAAGTAGAAAATAAGCAGTGTTATTACTTAATTAGTTACTGAAAATTAATAATTTAGCCAACCACTTTTGGCTTTTATTTAAAAAAATTTTACTACGGATAAACTCTTCTAATTACACTTTCAGAAAGCAGAAGCTTTCAAAATAATACATGTGACATTCAAAATAGGACACGTTCAGTACGTAGGTAAATTATTTCAAATGCTTTAAAAATCCGGGAATATCTTCAAGACCTTGTGATGTAAAATATGCTTTGTAATAGCAGATAAAAACGTGCTTCAATTACTGGATAATTGCTTTAAAACCATAAGTTCAAATTTAATTTTTGTATTATTAAAAGTAAAGCGGAATGAGTATTTTTTGCATTATTAATTCGGTCTAGGCTATTAAAAGTGTATCTCATTTATTAAAATGTTTGAGAATTACGCAATAATTTACTTTAAAAAATGGTACTACACTCTATTACACTGAAATGAATGAAATATTGAATAATTTTCTTCTTTGATATAAAGAAATATGGTATAAAGACAATTTACTTAGAAGATTGATTTAAACAACCATAACTTTATACATTTTCAAATGTGTAATAAGACTTACTTCTGCGTACTCTTTTGCGGAAAAAACTAGAACCTTTAGTTTTATATGGCGTGATGCGCTCTGCTATGACCTTGTTACAAAAAAAAACCTGTTTATCAAATACATATTTTTTTATTATTCTGTGGTTTGCCATATTTCATGTCAGTCTGATGAATTTAATAATTCAATCTAAAGTTATCAACATAAATATTCCCAATGTTTCACAGGGCCATTTCAATTGCTGATCAACTTTGAATAGTACTGATCACTTTGAATATGAACGGTAGTCTGGTCTGGCCTAAAATCGGTGTACTTAACCGTTTTAGTATAATATTTAATAAATTATCCACAAGTTAACTTCGAATTAAATACCCTTTTCGAAATGCCTGCAAATTAAATATCAAAATTTTAGCAAGCTATCAAATTATAGCCGACGTGTAACTTCATTAATCATTTTGTCGAACACGGCAGTTAATTGAATGACAATTTCGAATAACTTTAGTAATTTTGAGGCAATGTTTGCTACCACAAGCCTTTCGTAATTTCCCTTTGAAATATAATTATGTAGGCTTTGGCTCACATTACTTAGTTATTGATCCAATACATTTATTGAAATAATACCATCAACACTTAATGGTGCGTGTTACATATTTGTGGAAGGAAAATAAAACACACAAAAATGTGGCAAAGAAAACCGTGAAAATATGAGAAATAGACTATTTAAATTGTTTCAGAATCCGTACCAGTTTAAAAGACAAATACTCCAGGGGAAGCCTAGACAACGTATCGAGAATTCCTTGGGAGGAATGTAATTTGGATGAAGAATCGACTTTAAGAAGGACACGAAGTTTGGCCATTTCACGAGAGAACTTGTTTTATAGCCTGGATTACATCGAGACTACCGAGAATCACAGAAGAAGAGCTCAACTTATTCCACGTGCCAAACTTATTGAGAAGTCATTTATTAAGGATTCTAGGTAGGAAGTTCGAACAATTCCGCTATAATTATTTGAAGTGCTAATGAATTTGAGAACATAACTATTTTCATAGGTCCTTGATTGGTTAATAAAAGTTTGAAAGAACACAAACGTTTGAACGAAATATATGTAAATATTTGAACGAAATATATATAATATATATATAAAAACCTATTTTTCATTACCTAATCTGGCCTTTTAAAGGTATATTGATGGGTTTGAATTTTCCACAAAATCTTCACACAAACTTAAAAAATTAAAATATTTTTTTATTTATATAAATATTCAAACAATAAGGAAACAAGTGTGTTTTCCGCAATATTTTTAGCTTAATCAGGAAATATTTTATTGAGTTGACGATTTAAATATTAGAATTAAATGCGACTTATTCAATTTGAGACTTAAGACAAGAAGATTATTTCGAATGTTTTGTCATCTAATTGCATTAGCTTAAGTATAATTCACTAAAATAATCATATTTTGAACAGTAATAGTACAATTAACAATACATTAATATAGCGTAATTTGCTGTTCGCCTAAGTACACTTTATCATTTAACTTCCATATGCCAATGATGGTGGATCGTGGATAAAGTAGGTACACGCTCGGTTTTTATGGCTATTTTTCCGCAGGTGATTTACGCGTCCCGCCTAAGATCGGTCTCTAATTTCAACTTTAACTAATCACTTTCAACTAATAAGAGCTTTAAAAGTAGCTCGACTGATATCTCATAAAAACACAAATTATTTAATTTATTTTATTTTCAGTTTCAATATGAAAATTTCATGTGATGCTTTTAGCGTGACATTTTCCAAGTAGTCAAATGCATATAAATTGATATTTTCTGCATCGAAATGCGAAATCCGCTGGTTTTTATGATTCTAATTTTATCGAACGTTATTTCATATGCGCAATATAAAGAACAAAACATTTTATGAGCAACTAAGCTAATTAAGCCTGAACTGAATAAACTAGGTAAATTGACCAGTAAATTAAAACTTCAAAATTCAAAATGTTACATACAAACGCAATATTTTAAATAATTAAAGCTCTGACATTTCAACCTAATTATCCTCGTTAAAAAAATCAATTATTTCCAAAGTGTATTTTTGTTTTGAAGACATTCTAGGTAATATTGTATTTATAAGAATATATGAATTAAACTAAAAACTTACATCATTAACATTACTACAGTCCAAAGAATTTGATGGATTTTTCAAATGCAACCTCATGGCTGGTGGCCCCGTATTGGAAAGCTGGTGGAACAAGTAATATATCGAACTGATCAAATTTTCGGTTTTCGTTTACGAGTGGCATAAAATCAAAACGAATTAAAAACTTTAATTTATCTTCAAAGCAACAATGGATCAAAATGTGTGTTACTTAGCTTTGGAATGTAAACCTTAATTTTAACATAAATCGCTAAAAATATAGTTTTTAATATGGCGATAAATCAAGGTTTTATTGTAAAATAGAGGCACAATATCCAAAGATGGGTCATGTCATACAAGTAACAAAACCAAGCAGGTTGTTGTTGATAACGAGACGAATTTATTGCCTGCTTACAAAATCCAATCACCCAAAGCCTGTGTTAGTAATCTTAGTTACCAAACAATTTACAAAATACTAGAATATGAGAACAAAAACGCTTATATAAAACTTTAACTGCTCAAGAGCTTCTTACAGATGATCCAGCTCGACGCCTGAAATTTTCCTATCTATTGATCAGAATAATATCTCTTTAGAGTGGATAATTTTCTCAGACAAAGAAGGCTTCGCTTACCTCAAATGGCCAAAAATGTCGCTATTGGGCGCACGAAAAGCGTCCACAGAAAACTAATGTGTGGGCCGGAATAATAAAAGATTCAATTATGTGGGCCGTTTTTCTTGGACGACAATGTTAAGAAAACAAGATACTTGCATTTTCTACAGCACCAACTTGAGCCACAAGAGAATATAATGTTTTCGGTGGCCAGCGAGATCTCCAGATCTCGCCCCACTGGATTTTTTGCGGTACATCCCATGAATCAGGTTGATATTAAAAAAAAATAACATAAAAGAGACCAGGCAGACCACTAAAATATCACGGAAAGTTTTGAAACATTTTAGGGGCGAAACCTAGCAGACTGGGCTGTCGCTAACACGAGAATGCTACACATTTTGATCAATTGTTACGATGATAAATGAAACTACTTGTAAACTAACGTTTCGATTTTTGGCAAATTCTCAAACGTACTAAAAGCTAAAATTTTATTAGTATAATTTCCAAATGAGCGATCATAAGCGATAGAGGTGCAATTGAAGAAAATTTGTTGAAGGTGGTTCCAGCTACACCCGAATTGTTAGGTACGTTTTACGGTTGCTTGCAAAATGCAGGTATATACAATAAAACGTTAAGGTGTTAACATATTTGGTTTTTTTCTTAGATTTGTAAGATTACAACGTAGCAAATTAACTAAAGGCCTGGGTTTTAGGCCTTTAGTTAATTAACAAAAAATAACAGTATGATAGATTTTAAGAACATTTCATATCATTACTCTTCACCATATGTGGCAAATCTAAAATGTGTTTTGTCCAAGATCAGCTTTTCAGCAAGCTGATTCTGGAAGGAGCAAGTTTTTTAAGCTTCTTAGCTGCTGAAATCGGATAAAGCTTTTCAAATTCAGCTTCTGAAAATTCTTGCACTTACAGATGAAAAATTGATGAGCCGTTCCGACTGGTTTTATAAGCAGTTTAAATTGGCTGCATTTATGCATGAAACGAAAATATAAGCTAATATACTTCAATTACTTCGCAGTGAGTTGAGACGACTTAGTGTGAGGCTACAGCAATAATTTTAAAGTACTTTTACTAATTCGGTTTAGTCGGCGGCTGAAATGTTAATAAAGCCCAATAAACTTTCGTGATACGCTCAAGAATAAATATTCAGTCACTGCATAGATTAGAAATATTTACTTCATAGTTCAGAGTTGCTATTGTTATCTAACAATCTTTTTGATGTTTCGCCTGATTTTTATGATGGATTATTTGGTGGTTTTGTGAATATTGGCACACAAACCTTGGAACACTAACAACTTTGTTTGAGATAACGAGTATATAATTCATCATTTTCGAGAAAAGTTCAATAAACCAGCGATAAGAATTTAGTTTTCTACAGCATAGTGCGGTGCATTTATTTTGAGTCTGGGGCAAAATGAAGATAACTAAAACCCTAATTAAAAGAGTTCAATAATGTGTTCTGTTAATAAATTGTAAACATTTCAATACAGTTTTAATTTTGGTATTATTGAACCTATTAAAGTAATTTTTAAAGTCAGAAACTATTCAACTAAACACAAATGCAAAATGCTCCCGATTTTTAACCATTATATAATAAAGAACTAGCTCATCTAAAAATGTTCTATTTTTATAAATATCCTTTCCATATCTTTTCAGATACGAACCCTTTCAAGTGGAAAACATTCGAGCGCCCGCCAAGAAAATTCTCAATAAACCGGAGGAAATTCCTCCTGACTACAGTCCTTTACCACGAAATATTAGCCTCAATCATTTCCCACACGAGGAACATATATACGACATTCCGCCTGAATACGCCACGCAAAATAATAGCCCATTTAGCGAAAACATTAGATCCAGGTATAGTATTTTTGAACAATTAATCCATAATCTTTATAACCAGGTCACCTAAGAAGATGACCCTTCAGTGGGCCTAGAAATATGCAATTTTTCTAACAACATCAAAGATAAGAGCTGATTTTAAAAAATCATAAATACTATCGCAAAAATTTGAGCTATAGGACTTACAAAATGGTGAAAATGTTTTGTGATTCAATGAATTTGTCAAATGTTATGCAATTTATTCAGAATTGTAGGCAACTAATTGCTAAAGGCATTACTACTTATCCATTTTTAATTAAAACGCAGTTTTTTCAGAATTACATTTGTATTTTTAAACAATTTTATGCAAAACCTGAGTAATAGTGACACAATATTTGATGAAAACAATCACGCCTACAAATGAAAACATTAATTTTTACTGATCTAAACATCCCGTTAAAGCGTGTTTAACAAAAACGTGGTTTTATTGATTGAAATCAATGTAAATGTTACTCTTTATGCAAATCTGTTGAATCGAACTTGAATCGAACGATATTTGTGAAAATAGTAAAAATGTGATGTAATATATAAAATAACAAAAATTTGGAAAAGTTTGGTAATACTTAGTGCTACAGATAATACAGTTATAACTGATATAATATAAACAAAGTACCTAGCATGTATGAAACATCTAAAAGCTACACCACTAATTAAAATGTACTCATTAAAAAATACCCAAAATAACTCGTTTCCATATATATAAAAGCTTTGAGATCCTCAGAAAAAATTTACAAAAATGTTAAATTTTTGTCACCCCGAAGCTCTGGAATAACCCGTTAATGAAAAACGTTTTCTTTTTCTTAGCTCAATCTCTTGAGTACTCTAAACTGTTCAATTGTTCATGTTCTCATGCTCAGTTCTTCAACTATTTTAAGTACTTTCAAATAATCTGGAGTTTTGGATTGCTATACAAAAAATAGCAAAAGTCGAAAATTAAAGAAACATAATTAAACATTTGAGTGAATTTTCGTCACATGTGTGACGTTCCGGTTTGCAATAAAAATAAATAATCAAAATGATGTATCTTTAAAAGTTATCATCATATCAACCGGAGTTTAATCCTCCTACAAAATCAGTAATCTGAACAATTAAAGAGTAATCCATTTCAAAAATCCTCTTCAAAGAGGATTCTTAAAAAAAACTTTCTAATAATCGGATTTAAGTCGAATCGCATGAAATTTCTAGAATTTGCTGCAGTTGTCGGATTAATTAAATTTATTTAAAAACATCATGTAGATTTGTCGGATTTTCAGCCGTTTGTCTAATATTTAATAACAAATAAATAATTTCTTGATTTAATCCTGAAAGCGGGTTTAGTTTAAATTTTTTGTTCGTTAAGAAACAGGAACCCACTTTTATATATTTATTTATTGATCTGACTTAGAATGTTATTTATGCTGCATCTTATAACCTTTGCTTACGAATTTCCATATACATCAAAAGATCAGTTTCTTGGTTCTATTCAGGCTGGATGTTTTAACAGCACTCGAGGCAGGAAACCAAAGAAGACCCCTTTCGAACAAATTCTTTTATAAGAAGGATGTCGCATAATTTTCTCTTCACTAGCATTGAATATTTTTAAATAGTTTAGTGTTTAACATAGATCTTTTTGCTAAACCTTCGTCAGCGTCGAAATCGATAGGTCAACTTTCAATCTGTTTATTTATTTGAAATAAGTATTTATAAATCAGAAACTTATATTATTGTCACTTTCAGGATCAGCGGAAAAGAGGTGCAATCCGTTGCTTCCCAAAGTTTTTTCCGGTATGGGTATAAATTTAAAAGAAAATTCAATATATTTTTTCAGATGTATTGTTTCAAACATTTAAATAAAATTCTATTAAAGTTCAACAGTATCTGCTTAAGAAGTCACGTGTTTTTATATAAGCAAAATTTAATTACATTTTTATCTGCCAAATTACGAAAGGTGCATTTTGAAACTTGAGGAAAATTTTAAGTCCATATTGAAAGTTTTAAACTGAAACAAACACGCCACATAAATAAAAAATACTATGAAAGTATTATTAAAAATCATTAATTAATGAATTGAGTAGATAATCAGACAACTGCAATTTTTGGCAAAATCGACTTAGATCTAGTCGTTTGCAATGGAAAATCTTATTTTAAATAGTCTTTTGTAAGTATTTACAATAAGCCAGGTTTAGAAATGTAAATAGTATGTTTATTGAACTATTTGTTTAACATATAACATAAAAAAGGTAATACACCTTTAACATTTTTAAACTGCTTAACTATTGAGTTGAATCCGATTTCCTCATTTTTGGAATTAAATTATGTTTGTCACATATTGTGAAAACGCCAAGAAACTGAAAATTGAAATCTGAATACTACTACTAATCGACACATACTTACGAGCATATTTCTAAAAAACGTCTTTCTTTGATTTACTTACTGAACTTATTACAAGTTGAGAGGCAGGAAACTAAAGAAACTTACGGCAGTTTACTTTATGAATGTTTCCTAACTTCTGCCTCGATGCAATAATTTTTACAAAACATTTTATTTCAGAAAACCCTTTGAAGATTTGACTGGCTTAAGTCTCCCGAACTACTACCCGGACTCAGAAGTTACAGATAACGTCTCCCTAACAGACGTCCAATCAACATACTCCCAAGATAAAATCAGGTACACTTCACTCAGCAATTTTCCTTGGGGAGTTTCTGAACAACCGGACAGCATTTCATACGATGAAAATATCGTATTAACAAAGAAACCCGAAAATCTCTATGTGAAGCCCCGAACCATAAGAGGACCTATTCCGTACCATAACTTTGCCTACGAAAAGCTTCCACAATTTAACAGTGAAAAACTGAAAGAACCAGAGAAAAGTTCTGAATCGACTCCCGAACAACAATCGAGCTTGGAATTTGAAACAAACACGAATTGTGATGAAATTAAACTAAACAACGAACATATCAGCAAAGAGAAAAGTAATTCAGAATTAGTAGACTGCGATAAACCAGAACCTCATTGCAAAGTGATTGGTAATGTTAGCAAAACTGACGCAAATCAAGTAGTTTTTCGAGCTGATTTAGAAAAAACACTTCAACCAGAAGTGATAACAAAAATCGAAAAAACTGATACTGATAGTGCCTCAAGAACAATTGAAGTTACTTCCTCATATGCGAGTAGCTCTGCTAGTCCAATAAAAACCTTAATAGAGTTATGTCATATCGAAAGCTCCGCACAATCAGAAGAGTTTAAAAGTATTATAGAATTAAAATCCCACAACGAAGAAGTTAAAAACCACAGTCATAATTATTTGAAAGAATTTTTAGAAACCCAAAAGGGATCCAAAAAACCTCTGCAAAGTTTCATTGTAAAGAAGTTTTCCAACCTAACGAGACGCCAATCCAAATCAAACTTAGTATCCAATCAGTTTTACTCTTTGCCTGATATTTCAGCAAGTAAAAATTTGCAAAAGTGTGAGAAAATCGATAGAAAACTTAGAAAATGCGAACGACTTGTGAAAGCTCCTGTTTCTGAAAACCGATTTATTGTTAATATTGGCAACCATTTTGATATCACAGCAAAAAGTAATATTCCAGTAGATTTCCAGGTTAAAATAGCCAAAGTTCCGAAAAGAAGCAAAAAGCAATCGATCAGCAATAAAGGTACAGAGAAGGAATTTGCCGAAGCGGTAAAAAGCATTAATAACACTCTGCTAAATAACGGATTTCGTATTGACTTTAACAATAATAAAACGCAACAAGTCAAATTGGAACTTAAATCAAGTAAATTGGAGAAAAAAAAAGACATGATGGACCCCGAAATTAAAGAAAAAGTTGACAACATGAGAACGTATTGGACGAACATCATGGGAACAAATGACTTAGAGAAATGTGACGAGGAAAAGGAATTAGAAAGTTCACCTTGTAAAATATTAGAGATTCAAACGAAAGTGAACAATGTGAAAAAGAAATTTCAACCCGATAAAGAAATAATCGAAGACAAGGAAATTTCTCCGAACAAAGTGCAACTGGCTAAGCAATTATTTGAACCAAAGCCAGTGCAGGAAAAGGTGGACAAAATATCTCCTGCCATTAAGGAAACTTGCAACTATTTCGAAAAACCATCCGTTATCAGAGAATCCAGTTGTTATGAAAGTTTAAGTCCAAACTCGGTTGAATTGGTAACGGTTAAACATAAAAACGCCACTGCTATTGAGCGCCCGCGCAAATCACCCAAGGATTGTGCTAAACCAAAAAAACCATTATCAAAAGCCAACAGTATTAATGTTCCAGAGTTCGATCATGTGAGGTATAAAGTTATCAAGCCAGAACTGTTCAACAAAAAAATTATTGCAAATTGTGAAAATCAGGCTCAATTCGATGGACTAATGCAATATCTGCAAGATTACAGCTTCCAAGAACTTCTGTTAGACAATAATATTGTGATAATAGAGCCGATTCGAACTAAAGTGCCACATCAAAATCAGAAAAATGTATCTAAAAATGATAAGAAAAACAACAATAGTGCCAACCAAGTCCCTGATGACAATAAAGATGTGGACTTTGACGATGTTAAACAAGGAATAAGGAAGCACTTTTTTTACCACCCAATCCGCGTTAACAAAGAAGTCAACGATGACGAACTTCCAAATCCAGATGTTGTCCGACAAGCCAGGCAGTTTTTTGAAAAGGAAGTACTGAAAATACAAAGCGATCGAGAGAACGGATTTGAGAAAGAGCAGTATAAAAATATTGGTGCAGATCCGGATAAAGATAAATGTAGTACTTCGAGCTCCGCAGCTTCAACGCTGTCTGATGCTGAAGAAGAGCCAATGTATGATTCTCTTGACCAAGAGTACTGCTGTACTACCGAATATGTTAGTGAAGATATATTAGAAAAAATTAGAGAGTACGGAACGACAGTCACCTACT